CGAAGTCCGCGAGCAGCAGGCGCGGCAGCCCGGTGGCCACGCAGCCCCGCGGCATCGCCAGCAGCAGGTTCTCGGGCCGCAGCTGGGCCAGCGCCGCGCCGCGCGCCTCCAGGAGCTCCAGGGCCGCGCTCAGCTGCACCAGGAGCAGGGCCGCGGTCCGGGCGAAGTCGGGGGACTGCCGCGCGCCGGCCTCCGCCAACCACTGGGCCACTGTGCGCTCGGGGACCTCAGCCACCAGCGTCACGGGGCTCCACCAGGGCGCTGCGGGCAGGGCGCGCTCGGGCACCAAGCCACACAGGCCCTGGAGATTGAAGTGCGGGGGCAGCGAGGCCTGCAGCTCCAAGCCCCACGCGCTGGGGGCCTCGGCTTCTGGCTTGGGCACCTGGGGAACAAAGGGGGCAGTCAGGAACTTGCCCACAAGAACCTCAACCTGCATAGTGTACCCCAACTGCAGTACTCACCCTGAAACCCTCCCCACCCCCTGACAACCTGCCCGCATGGAAAGCTGAGGCCCAATGTTTGCTGCTAGTGGATTGAGGCTCTTGATGGGCCAGCCCTGCGCTGCAGAGCGCACCTGAGCGCCCGCCGTGGGGTTTTCTTGGTGGTTATTTTTTTTTCTTTTTCTTGGTAATGGATTACCACTCAAAAACCCCAAAACACACCCCTACCCAGAAAACAAAACCGAAAATGGATGTCAGAAGAGACCGTGAACATTGAACCAGAGCCTCAAGAAGCCAAAGCAAAAAGATGGTCAAGTACAAGAGCTGAACGGAAGATTTCAAAGGGCAGCTCGAGAAGACAAAGCAAAGTACTATAACGCGATGTGCGGAGACCTAGATTGGAGAAGAAAAAGGAAAGAACCCGCTCAGCGTTTCTCAAATTGAAAGGAGTGAAAAGCAAATTCAAGCTTCGAGTTGCAATACTGAGAGATGCTGGGACAAAATCTTGAATGACGCAGGAAGCATCAAAAGAAGATGGAAGGAATATACACAGTTGCTGCACCAAAAAGCACTTGTCTGGCACGGAAATGTTTCAGGAAGAACCGTCTGAGGCAAAGCCAGCGGTAGTGAAGCAACGAGTCCAAGCTGCACTGAAGGCCTCAGCAAAAAAAATGCGGCCCCAGGAATTGATGAGATACTTGTTTCTTACACACAGGCCTGGGTGTGCTCACCAGTCTACACCAAGACATTTGGAAGACAGTTGCCTGGCTGACCGACTGGAAGAGATCCATACCTGTTTCCCGTTCCCAGCTATAGTGATCTAACAGAATGTGGAAATTACCAGATAATACCATTCATAGAACATGCAAACAAAATACTGTTAAGGATCATTCAAAACCAGCTGGAACAGTACACAGAGAGAGCTGCGAGATGTTTAAGCTGGATTCAAAAGAGGCCATGACACCAGGGATATCATTGCTGATGTCAGATGGATCCTGGCTGAAAGTAGAGAATCCAGAAAAATATCTATTTGTGTTTCATTGACTACACAAAGGCATTTGACCAGGTGGGTGTGACCAGTTGTGGCTGACATTGAGAATAGGAATCCCAGAGCACTGCATGGGGTTTGTGCGAAACTTACACCTAGACCCAGGTTCTCTGTGCAAACAGAGCAAGCAAGGGAACACTGTATAGTTTACAGGTAAGAAAGATGTGTGTCAGGATTGTATCCTTTCTCCATACCTATTCAATCTGTACATTGTTTATGTTGTTGTTAAGTGCTCTCGAGTCATAGGCAACTCACAGCGACCCTACGAACGAAAGACCTGAACACTTGTATAATTTTCATCATTTCTCCAGATTCATAGGGTTTCCAGAGGCAAGCTATTTCGGAAGTGGATGCCACTCCTGCTTCTAAGCTTGTTTTAATTGGGGAGTGCCACCAAACATTGTCCACCATGGGTAACCATTAATGCATTTGACACATCAGTGTCACTGTATTTAGCATCACAGCAACCATGAGTTACCTCTGTACAGCAAATGGACAGACCAGTGCTATATGACCTAGAAGAATTCAATCTGTAGGCTGAACAAATTATTTGAGAAGCTAGACTCTGAAGAAGAATGCAGCATCAGGATCAGAGGAAGACTCTTTAATAACTGACATTATGCAGATGACACAACCTTGCTTGTTAAAAGTGAGGCCTTGAAACACTTGCTGCAGAAGGTCAAGGATTGCAGCCTTCAATATGGATTATATCTCAACATCAAGAAAACAAAAATTCTCATCACTGGACCGATAGGCAACATCATGATAGATGGAGAAAAGATTGAAACTGTCATTGACTTGATTTTAATTGGATCCACAATCAATACACTTGGTACCAGTAGTCAGGAGATTAGGAGACATGTTGCCTTAGGGAAGTCTGCAGTCAGGGACCTTCTAAATTATTGAGGAGCAATGATGTCAGTCTGAGTACTAAGGTGTGCCTGATTCAGGCCATGACATTTTCAATCAGTTTATGCATGTGAGATGGAGGCAAAGTTTGGAAGTATGTGAAATCTGGACAATGAATAAGGATGACAGAAGAATCAATGTCTTTGAGCTGTGGTGTTGAAGAAGAACACTGAATATCCCATGGACTATCAAAAAAATATCTTTTGATATATCTTGGAGAAAGTGCAGCCAGAGTGCTCCTTGAAGGCAAAGATGATAAAGCTTCACCTCACCTACTTTGGATATGCGGCTTGGAGAGGAACATCACGCTTGGAAAGGTGAAGTGACGGCACAAGAGAGGAAGACCCTCAACCAGGTGGGTTGATACAGTGACTGCTGCAATGGGCTTGAGTGTGTCAGAGATGGTGAGGACGGACAGGAGAGGGCAGGGCTCTGATCTGTTGTTCACAGGGTCGCTGTGAGTCATGCTGGTCTTGACAGCACCTGACATCAACAACACCATCAAAAAGAGACTTTAGAGGTGACAGAGTTCATCCAGGGTGCTCCCTGGAGGCGACGATGGTAGACCTTTGCCTCACATGCTTTGGGCATGTTGTCAGGAGAGACTATTTCTTGAAGAGACATCATGCTTGGAAAGGTGGAGGGTCAATGTAAGAGAGGAAGACCCTTGATGAGATGGGTTGACATGGTGACTACAGCAGTGGGTTCCAGTGTGTGAGAAACTCTGAGCATGGGACAGGATAGGACAAGGTCCAGATCTGCTGTCTGTGGGGTCACTATGAGTCATACTCAACTTGACGGCACCGAACAATAGCAAGTTAGAGAGATGGTAGTGGAGAAGACAATTGAATAGATGCCGACATGCCAAAAGAAAAACTGATCTATCTTGAAGGAGTAGCCAGTGATCCTCTGAGACAAGGCTAGAGAAACATCAGAAGCTTGATGGGAGAGATTGGATTTCTGCCAAGAAAGTGCAGCAAAACCTATTTTCCAAGTGGAAGGAGGCCATTTTTTGAGCAGGGCAACATTGTTTCAGACTGTATCAGTCAAGAGATTTGGCTACATGTAACATGCACACTGCCTTTCCCCCCTCCATTGTTGTTGTTGTGTAGTCCCTTGTGACTCATAGAGACCCTATGTACAAGAACCTGCAACCCTGCTCTATCCTATGCCAACCTCCCTGTCTCCAACACACCTACTCCCATCACCCCAATCACAGAATTGATCCGTCTCATCAATGGTCTTCCTCTTCTGAACCCTCCC